AATGTAAATAGACTTCAGTAACCTGGTAAACATATATTTTTTTTTACATAAAGACATGATTATGTACATTAACTTTAAACATACTCTTTGAAATCTGAGAGAGCAGAAGTTAGAGAATTCAATGACGTAAAATGTGTCATTGATCATGTGCACTGTCCGACATCTCTGGCAGGTTCTGGAAATTTGAGGGAATACATTGGGAGATGTAGAACGTTTGTGCTCATGCGTACTTGGTATATCAGGTTTGCTCTGTTTTGTTGCAGCTTTGAAGCAGCTGTAGCTCAGAAGAAAGAATAATCATCTCCCAGTGTGAAAGATTGGTTATCCAAGGCTTCTACAATCCACATAACAAAGTTTATTTTAGCTAGACAGTGCGCTCAACTTTGCCTCCAAGGCTTTCAATGGTTTAAGATTCTGGGTTGTTGTAGAGAACTCTTAAAAAACACTAAAATAGGGCTATAAATGGAATTTATTTCTCATTCTAGCTCAATGTTTTTATGCCTATTACAACTTGTGTAATTGAAGCATTATTGGACAGAGCTTCAGATGACAATGTCAGGTTGTGGTTTGTGGATGTTTCAAAGAATTACTTGAAAGTGTGTCCAATGATGAGGCAGCCTTAATTAGCAATATTTACTGAAACAAAAGAAAAGAAAAGTGATTTCTTTTTCTTCTTGACATGCGTCATGGAAGCATTAGTGAAACAGCACAGGTCCAATTTGCGGTAGTAAATTTTTTTTGCCCATGCAATGGGCTGATAACCAAATCAAGGTGTACGATAATTTTCCAGCCTGTGGGAATTTTCATTCTGTTTGACTAGGTTAAGGGAACTAAAAGTATTTGGAGAGTTGGTAAAAACCAAGGCGAATGTTAGATAATTCTCCACCTCACATTAGTGAATTAGACAAAAAGGAAAGACTTACACGATGGGCCTGTGTGGAGTTTGCATGTTCTCTGCATGGGTTTTCTTTAGGTTCTCAGGCTTTCTCCCAATGTCCAAAAATCTTCATGTTAGGTTGATTGGACTTTCAAAATTGCCCTTAGGAGTGAGTGTGAGTGGTTTTTTGTCCTTGTATGTCTCTGTGTGGCCCTACGATGGACTTGACTATCAAGGGTGTACCCCGCCTCTCGACCATTGGCTACTGGGATAGGCCCCCCCCCCCCCCCCCCGCGACCCCATTAGGGAATAAGCGGTTACGATAATGGATGGATGGATGGTTCTAACAAAAAACAACCACGATTAATGCATCTTTGAGGTCTCAATTTTTAATGACTCAAGTAAAATTCAATGACAAGAAAAATCATTTCACCATACAGAAGGTCAATTTTTTTCCCCATAGAATTAAGTGGTATATCTTACAAAGGCATGACAACACAGACTGTATAGCTTTAACTGACCAATACAGATTTGCTGGCAAGCACTGAAGCCTTTCTCCCAAAGCAAATTTGACCTGACTCACTGATGACTATTTTACAAGCATATACTTAAGTCTTATATCATATTTTGATACAGTTTTTTTTTTGTACAAGATACACTGTGTACATAAAATGCTCTGGCAATACGCATGCCAGTACACACACACCCGCTCACACATACATACATGCAAGGAGACACACCTGCTTTCACTCACACACATACAAAATCACTTATGAAGACACTCCAACACACTCATCAATATTATGCATATGTAACCATTTACATTACAGAGATTGTCATCTCATCACTTCTTATGTTTTCCCTCATTCCTCACTGTGTACATTGTGGATTTGAATTTTTAGCCTCCATTTAGGGTCATTCCAGTTTGTAACCATCACTTACAGTTCTTTAGGGGTACTGTTATGTACAGTTTAAGGTCCAGTTTACCTGACAGTATAGATATTTAATCATTTTGTAGGTGTAGATGTGTAAGTGGTACGCACACTTGACTTGGTTTGAATGTGTACACCGTATAAGATTTGTTTTGTTCTTTCTGACAGACAAACAGGTAGAGAAGTAAATATCAATACTAACACTGATTGCAAAGATGAATGCACTAAGCACACTGTCAAGTGTCAAAACACCTTGTTCAAGTCCGAAGAGGTTAAGCAAATTATAACTATAAGTTGACTCAGTGATCATGAACACATTTTAAATAGAAAATTAAAATAACGATAGTAAAATTAGAGAAAAAGAGGAGATGCTTTGAACTAGAGTATAATTTGGGTTGAAGGGATAGAAAATGTACATAACCATGAAAAAAAGAGAGAGATAAAATCATGCAAAGTGAAAGCGCATGTTAAGTCACGATTTTTGCCTTGTTCAACATTCCTGACAATGAAAAAGGTTCAGTTCAGAGGAACGTGATGCCTTATGCTGTTGAAATAAATATATAATCCGTTACACTTATTGCTCGAAGCATGTGTGGCAAAACAAAATCCACCCAAATAGACAGTGATTATGAAAAAAAAGAAAAAAGTTACATTAGACCAAAAGTCCTGGTGTACATTCATGCAGTTATATCATTCCTATGAAAAGATGTCCTTCGATTAATGTTTCTGCCACACTGCAGCTGAAAGAACTTTTGTAGGCAGAATTAGCTAAAACAGTTTCATGTTACAGATAGATAATATTGTGCTGACTGTACAAATGTGATCAGAGTAATTTCAAACAATCACATTTTCATTCTAGAGTGACAGTGTTCATTATTCCACACATTTTCCATATATAGCTTCTCTCTCGTTTCACTATATGAGGAAGAGGGCAGTTTTCTGAGACATCATTATAATCACTCCATGGAATTTTCAGGGATTTTGCAACCAACTTCGCTACTTTGCTTTTTCAAACTGCAACAAGAGTCTGGAAAATAAATTAATTCCGTGAGTTTTGGTTCACATGCCGAGGGTCTCAAATATGAGTTGGTTCTGTTTTTGGTAGAGTTATAAAAACACCTCTGACATCATGATGCATTTTCCCTTTGATATTTGCACCTTTTGATTAAAAATGTAGATGCATGTCTACAATTACAGGGGATAAGAAATGAGGAAAAGAGAAAAGATAGATGAATAAGTGTATTCAAATCTGGGCCATGTTCTTAAACTGGGAAATTACCAGAAAATAGATGTTGAAAGGATGCTTTATTGAAGTTGCTTTTTGAAAAAATTAAATTTATGTTCATAAAGGTGAAATTCAATTGTCCTCTTTGTGTTCTTGACACACTGCTCCCTTAAGTGATCACTTCACTGACTATCAGATAAATCCTCTTTATATTTTTAAGAGTTTGACAAAATAGAATAGTTAAGAGTTAACAAACACAATTTGCTTTGTACATTCCCTTGAGAATAACACGTTGCATTATAGATTTAGGCCTGTTCCCAATATACAAGATGGTAGAAGAAAATTAATCGCATGAATCATATACCTGATGATGTAGACACCTGGCTTGGATGTTGCTGGAAAGAAAAATGGATATCAGCAAAGTCACTTATTACTGTAGCAATACATTATGCTGCACCCAATCTGTTACAAGGCAAGTTAGTATGCAGCATTTATAATCATCAGAACAGTTTGCACGCTCAGGCAGAAATGCAGTTTTCTTTTGGAACCTTGTGAGGAACAGCCTGCAGGGCGAACTTCTCAACTGATCCTAGTATCTATTCTAGTGATAACCGCACAAATAACACAGACATAAATAATTCAGCTTGACTCAGGACCTTGAAGAAATTTTTGCAGCCTGGTCTATTATTCTCGTGTCAACACATGGTAAAAACCAATATCAGAAACTTTGGAGCAAACAGTAGCTATTGTTTGAGAGCCCTAGATTAAAATTAACAATGGGAACATAGGTGTTGATGGGAAATATATAAATTAGCTGTCTCTGAACTCTTGTCACCTTTTCTCTCTCTTTGTATACGCAGAGTATTTTTTGCGAATTACAAATAGAATCATTCCAAACCTCTAAACATAATAAAGGTCGCTACCGAGATCACGCATCAAAGTAATTAGACTGAGAATTTCATAACTGGGTCCATAGCCATTATTATGTGAAGGCTTTTGAGCAGCAAAATGTGGAGAATAGAAGCAAAAGGAAGAAAACAAAGGCTACATTCCCAAAGCACATCTGACTGCACCTTTCAAGACTAAGCTACTAAGACAATCTACCAAGATTATGCTAGGAGTGAGCATTTTCTTAATAGAGTTGGCAGCGATGGAGCAATCACCATATGGAAAATGTCATGAGTATGCAAGTGTGCATGAGAGAGAATTTGTGTTATTTTGGGGATTTTATTTGGTGTACTGGTCCATGATGAGGACAACTGCAAAAGATGAGGTGCTGCTTGCCTACTTATGCTTTTTATATGTAAAAAAAAATCCTTCTGCATGCCCCTGACCCAAAATAGACTTCTGAAACACATTTGGGCGAGACAAAAGAAACCTCTTCTACTAGCAAAGGACTTTTTGTGCCACTTGTTTTAAAGAGCAATACTTCACAAAAACTTGAACAGAAATGGCATCAACCCAGAGCTCATGATTAACATTTAGCCCAATTTAGCTCAATCATAACACAAAGTACTGCATTTGCATTTGTTTCTGTGCCAGGAAATGGTCTTTTTGTCTCACTATGCTGGGCAGAAGGAACTTAAAGTATAACAGTGCCCTTTTGTGTCACTAAGTAAGCGTCACCAAACTGAAAGCAAAGTTCTGTCTTTTTTTTTTCTGCGGCGGATCTATTTTGGAATGCAACTTCCTCTTGTTCACTATACATGGGGTCTGATGTGTTGAAACGTACAATTCCTTTAATGCTTTAAGCTCACAGGACGATTCCATTTGGATTCTGTCTGATTACATCATCATGTGTCGTCCATTCGTGGATGTCTTCATTGGTAAGCTCGAACTGATCAAACTTATTCAGATTATGCATACCTTCACGTGTGCATGCATACTCATCATTAAGTCCTACAGCATCTATGGATTGAGTCATACGCGCTGGATGTCAAGCCAATGAAGATCTGTCTTTTATTTTCTACAACTGATGCTCGTGTAAGAAGGGGCTACTGCCCGCGCCGGTTGGGGTCTGCTGCCCAGGCGAGGAGAAGCTTGCCAGGGGGATGACCTTGACAGGGTCCTCCTTCTTACTACCGCAGTGTCTGTCCAGGGTGTTGTAGAACTGCGGCCGGTTGATCCCTTTGTCCAAATCATCCTTTTTGGGCACGGACCTTCCCAGAGTATGGCGGCCGTCCATGACCCCCATGCTGCTCATGTTAGCTTTTACTCCCCGCGAGCAGCTTTGCTGGAAGCCGAAGGAGGGGAGGGTAGCTGTGATGGTGGCGGTGGTAGGGGTAGAGGTGGGGCTGTTGCTGCCAGGACTCTGGAACTGGGCCAGGGCTGGGGGCATCCAGCAGCTGTCGGAGTGGCCCAGTATTAGACACTCCTGGGTGCAGGTCTCAGAGGCCTCAGCCATTGCTTTCTGCAGGTTCACCTCGATGGCTGTAAAAATGAGAAAAAAAGAATAAAACAACACATTCAATACACAAGGTCAGAACATACAGGGAGTGCAGCTGGAATGCAATGATTTCACTCGGGTGAACTCAAGGCACTGAATGAACTCATGAATCATAATAGAGATAGAAAAAGAAGTTGCCATCTTATCAGAGACTAGCCCACAAAATGTCAGCCTTTTAGTGAAATGAAAGTCAGTGATAAATGTTTCATTTCATCTTGTAATGAGAAAAACACAAACAGAGCATTTAATTTCCATTGATATTCCCATGACTCCATCTGTTTACCTACAATATGCATTGAATTCCCTGTTGCTTAATTAGAGTTTGAAAAAAATAGTCTTACTGTTTGTGCCTCGGATTGGCTGTTCTGTGTTAAATATTTAATGAACTTATTATCAAAGAATTGTTTATTTTAATCACTGTCAATGCTGTTTTGATTTACCAGATTATAAAATAAATATGGTGAAATAAGAAAACTCAAATTTTCAGTATTGGAGGGAAAAAACCTAGGTGCTCAAGAATCTAATGAATTCCACGACAAAGAGAACGGACAGGTAAATGAATTAAGAATAAGAATGAACAAATAAGGGAACATGATGGGAAATAAACAAACAAACAAATTTCATCTTAAGGTGAAGCTAGCGTTCACTGTCAGCATTTACATTTCAGACGTGGAAGGGGAGAAAAACTGCAAACCAAATGAGGAGGCAAGCGTGCAAGGCTAAGCACTCCAACTATCTTATCTCATTATCCCGACACTGACATCACATGCGGAATGAGTCGGGGATAAGGCCTCAGCATAGAGACTTAGCAATAAAGCCTGTCATACCAGATAATTAGAATGTAAAACAGTATGCACGAAGGCAACCCCGAGCCTGAAGTGTTATGTTTCTTAGACCATGCAAAGGAAAGGGGGTCCTCATTCAAACATCACATTGCTCCTCCAGGACTCAGTTTCAAGCTGTCATGTAGAAATTATTTAGTGTATTTGCATAAGTAAGAATGTTGTAAATAATTAAAGAGTCTCATACGCAACCACTGCAAGCACTTTTTCCTTTACGCTTAATACTGCACACTCTCCATCACCAACGTCTGCAAAACTTTCCACCCTCTAATTTATGGTTTTACAGTATTCTGCTGATTGAAAACAATCTGATTATGTTTGTAAAATCAGTCAGACCCTCAGGATCTATCATGACCTGTGCAGAGTGGTTCAGAGAACACCGTTCTCGTATGTTTGTGCCTCCACAGATTGAATATCACTGCGTCAACTTTAATTATCAGAGTAGTGTCTAAAAATGAGTCACATGGTATAAATTGTGAGGATATATTTGGAGGGCCCGCATGGAGCCAAATCTGTCCTCTCCATATTGAACTGGAGCTGTGGAGCAGGAGTGTATAAATCCCTTGGGCGGTAAATGTGTCACCTTTCAGGGGGTCACTAACTTCATTAAAGCAAAAATGGATGCTTTCTCATTCTCTGAGCAAGCACAATAGGGCAGAGCCAAGTCTCTGCTATGCTTTGACTCAATTTTTCTCCAAGTGATTTCTGCTGCTGGAGTAGCCTTTTTTAGTGCACTTATGTTTTTCACGAGGCAAAGACATGTGTTTCATTCATTATTGTCCATCAAATAGAGGTGATCAATATATTCACGAGCGAGGCTGTCAATGACAAGGGCAACTTAAGCCTTTCAGATTCTGAACTGTGATAATTTCTGTGTCTTGGATCGATCTCTGTTGACTGACGGTTCCATGTATGATAATAAGTAAGCATAATTTAGTGTGAACAAATGTGCTGGTTGTTCTGTTGTGTTGTGTTGTGACTAGTTCACAATTTTCTACCTTAATGGACAATCTGTTGAGCCAGTCCAGAGACAGCTCTTGGTCATGAATTTTGAATGATTACCGTCTCAAAAAATCCCTTGCAGCTTAAGTAATAGCTAAATATACACATATTGGTCTGGATTGACAATGACAAATGATATATTAATTTCACATCAAGTGCTCACATGTAAATCATAAGGACGGACTTGCAACTGTAAAGTGTTGCAATCGTGTCATGAGTCTATAATCTATATTTGATCTGTTTGGAAAAGTGTGGAAACCTCATCATGTAATCTGTTACTGTCACTTAATGTCAATGTAATAAATGAAACTGTAACCAACACACTCTTAAAACGTGAATAAATATCCCTAAATTCCCTAGCAAAACACGTATATCATGTCTCTTATCATTCCCAAAATTATTTAGTTTGAGGATATTTTAATCTTTTGGTTGCTCAGGGTTATAAATTCAATTGATAACAAGCCTTTAAAAAGGGTGACAAACAATTGACAAGCCACTAAAATACTTCTAATGCTACTAATACAATACTTCTAACAGAAACGACACAGGTGATAGTTGGTGCTTCTCATTTTAAAAACTGTACTTCTCATAAATCCAACTGATGTGAGTCAGGCAACAAACACACAGGCCTCTAATTCAGTAATATACTGAATTTGAAACTCTGAAAAGGCAGCAGCCCCCAGCCCATCACTTATCTATTACTTCACACAGTTTTAATTAATGGCAGTTTTAGACGCCTCAGCTTCCACATTCAGAAAGAAGCATTTTCTAAACCAACCTCTACCAAAGACATGGGCTTGTACTATTTTCTATTCCGGTAGGACAGTTCGGATAGGCAGCGGCAGGTTTGGGAGAGTGGGAGCATGACGTGAGTGATGTCGCTGACAGCTCTCGCTGCTTTTGTCAGTTAGAGGTACGCTGCAGCCCGTTTGTGATGCTGCTGTCTTTTGTATTCAGGGGAAATAACTGTACCCCACGGAGCTTTCGGGAAAAATCACACATCACTGATGCCACGGATCCCCTGATGGTGTGAACAATCTTTTCTGTGTTCCCTTCAAGGAAATTTGAATGGCAGACAAGTGGGGATAATGGCAAACAATAGGGAGTAATAGACAGCATGGGAGAGATCAGACCTACTGTTCTCATTTGAGATGATTTATCTTCACTTTGTAGCAGTGATGCGACTGAAAAATAACCCTGATACCTGTTTAGTAACTCTGCAGTGTCAACTCCACATCTAAAAAAAGTTCAGCTACAATCTGACTGCTGCTGATTGCACAAATTCAATGGCAATCAATTCATGATCTGATTCAAAATGGCCTGTGACAGAAGCTGATCATCTATCCATGGCCTTGTTGTGTATTGAAGACAAAGTGATTGCACACAAGGTTAGTAACAGTGGTGGCCTAAAGCAGCCTGGGTCTGCAACATCAACGCATCCTTTGGCCTGCCACAGCTCGAACGCCGCTGAATCCACATTCAGTTGACCTTCCATTCAGTTTATTCAAACACTGGACATGTGCCGGACAGAGATGGCATGCAAAAAAAGAAAACTGACTGACAAGTCTCCAATGCAATTTATATCTTGTTTCCATCTTACTGGACACGTTTGTCATGTGATTTCTGGGTTAAAGTAGCTTGTCATGTAAGGAAGAAAAAGAGCAATGAATAGAATATTAAGGTACCTGCTTCTGCCAGCTGATGAAAAGAAAATGAACGCAGTCTGTAATATCAAGATAATCTGCTAGTTTCTGGCATCATTGTAGCATGACAATGATTTTATACATCCTTTGTGAACTAAACATCTACAAGTCTCATCACGTTGTACTTTAGCCTCAGCAGTAAATATGTAGTAATGACATTTGTATAGGTATTTGTATAGGTATTATACTTAGCCATTTCTACTCAAGCATTTCCTGCACTTCTTTTTCTGTGGTGGCCATTAAATCCACTAATATATTTATGACACAATCTCATATGCAGAAACACACTCGCACAATTCCTCAGACACACACGCACACACAGGTAAGCTGCATACTAACCGGCTGATTGATGATTTGCAGCACAATGGTATGAGATATTTAACATGACAGTTAATGATATTTACTGACAGAGCTTGTTACATCTTGATGAGCTTCACATTAAGGTCTGCACACATATCACGATACAGCTCATTATTTCAGCATGCACAAACTCATTATTGCTAATTAAAAGGATAATTGCATGCATCTAGGACATTAAATTCTTCAAACAGGCATCAGGAAGGTGGACTGAGTCACTGACTCATCTTACACTGTCAATTTGTACAGTTCTTACGTTTTTCTTTTGCCTGAGCTTTCAACACATCTATGCATCAAACAGCGCATTAGCATTGTCCAATCAAATGTTCCCTGCCTACTGTCAATATACTCTGTGAGAGCCATATGTAGCAGTACGGTGTTATGCTATGAGATAATCCAACTTACGAGAACAGATTGTAGAGTTTCTGTTTTTTTCTTCCTTTTTAGCTTTCATTGTCCATGGTTTTGAAACACGCGCTGTCACAATGGAGCATAGTTCATTTTATTCACGGCAAAGACCACAAAGGTTCATGAAGTTACACAACATCCAGAGCAGTGCAAGTCCTCATACATATTCCAGTGTGTAGCAGCCAAGTAAATAAGCCTTTCACCATCCAATGCAATATCACCTGGCACTCTTCCCCTCTCAGTTTCAGATAATTGGAGCTCAACAGGTTTAATGGTTACAGAGGATGCAAGAGCCTTATAAAACAGAGCCCCCGTTTTTCACCAAGAGTTACAGAACCATCCTGAAGAAGTACATGTAATACAATTATCAGGAGTGCAAACAACATTATAATAGTCATTATATTATATGCTCCTGTGATATGGGAAGGTGACGGATGAGAGCATGAGAACAAAAAGTAACAAGGTACTCAAGCATGGCTCTTATATCTGGGAGACAGAAGGCAGAAACACGATTATGACAAATTCTTTCAAAAAATAGAATCTCACTAGAAATAATTGGGTTTGTAATTAGACTTTATCTCCTCACTCAGCCTCATGCCTACTCCAAACATTCAATCTGGATAAGCAAATGGACGGTTATTAATAATAATAGCCCCATTAAAACCACTTGGT